ACTTACACTTCCCGACTCTTAGTTAAATAAATCGAACGGACGGAGATGATTCACCAACTGCAAGTGTTGATTTAAAATCAGACTGTATTTCACGCGCGCATGGCCGGTCTCGACGAACGAATCGCCAATTCAAACTGGCAGCGCACATTAGAGTCCTGGACTTAGTGAGGGGTTACGGCAGGCAATTACCCGGATAATAAAAGGGCCCGTGAAGAGGAACGCGAGCGAAAAGGAAAGGAAGGAAGTAGGTGGTAGGCGTTCACGCGATGCCTTTGCTTAACGTTTTAAAGCCTGGCAATTATTTCTACGGTCTCCAGTCGCAAGCTGTTGTTGTGCCTCCGGTGATAATTAACGTCGCAAAGTTCTTCTTCCAACGACGAATGCACAACACCTCAATGCGTATTGCGCGCGTTTACCCCTCCCTCAACGACTCTCTCAAGGCAAATGTTCGATTTTCTTTCTATCTTTTTTTTTTTTTTTTTTTTTTTTTTTTTTTTATTTATCTCGACGCGGCAGCTTTATTCCGCTTGATTGTGCAATTACAATCGCTAGTGTACGCGTCTCGGTGATTTTCTTTTCGACGAGGACAATTGGAGAGACTAAGTGCCAATTGCCTCGTTAAAGTTACGCGTGCTCGCGCTCGACGATTGTTGACCAATTTGCAAAGGAATTCACGCGATAATAGAGCAGAAAAATTGACTAAAGGATCTAGCGTTATGCGGAGTCCTTTGCTTTATTTTAAGAAATTCGTCGACTTTAGTGAAACCTGACTGACCTTTTATTTCTGTAATTCTTACATGGGGCACTTTCCCTCCCTCCAACAACAATCCGATCGATTTCATCGATGTCGTTTTCAACGAGGAGCCTTAATTAAAAAATACTCGATTTCACATAGGCTATCTAATTAACTATAGAAAGCTGCTGAGGTAAGACGCATCGAATTACATGCGTAATTCCTAGGAACACGAGTCCAAAAATTTTATAATATTTATTATAAGTTTCTTTTGATTTTAATTGGGGCTTTTATCACGAGGAGAATGCGGGAAGAAGGAGGTGAGATATTTATCCTTTCGTCTTATTCTATTTATATTGATTTATCATCGTACTCGCTGTGTTTCTCTGTACAAGAACGTAATATTTAAAATTCAAACGTAGAAAGTAATTCGTTTCTTATCAGCAAAAGAAACTTCGATTTTACAACTGGCTTCACTTTATGCACAGAATAGCGATTTGAAAATTTACTTATGAAACTTTTCAAATGCGTCAGCATACGAACGAAAGCTTTACATTAATCGAAATGTATTGATAAACTCCTTGAGAATCGTAACATTTGGTGAAGGATGAGTCAATAATAACAACACTTAACAATACCTACTTTACTTACAGGAATAACGAAAATGACGAGAGGGGCAAATGCACAATAGATCGGTGACAATTTTTTTTATTCTCTCCATTTCTTTTCTTTTTTCTTTTTACAACTCGAGCGCCTATCATCAATGGAAGGAAAGGGGGGAAAAGAAAAGAAAGAAAGAGACAGGCAAAGAGGAAATTCGAGGTCTGTCGCGTCGCGGCACGCGCTCATTGTAACCCTTTTGTCAAGCGGCGACTGGAGGCGCGCGCGCGCACGTCGAATTTCAATCTAAAAAGGATGGCACACCGCGAGAGTACCGTAAATTTGCATCTGCCTCGTTGTCTTGGCTAATTTGCCGCGCCAAAGACCCTTCACCGAGTGCAAAAATTAGCCATTCCCATACGGGACGGCAAAGGGGGATGATGGGG